AAGGTCACTATGACCTACTGTTTAGTTGAAATACTTTGAGGCCTTAGGATGCATCTACTGACAAGGTTTGGTGATCATAGACTTCAAAGTGTCTAAAAGATGCCTCTAAAACAATTTAAATATATCTAAGTGTGTTTCAGAAACTCTTGTCGAGTATTTAAACAATAAACCAAATTCTGAATATGATAGAACAAGCTATTTGAACTAAATTTCATATAAAATGTAGAAGTGTAATTTTATAATAATGTAAGTAAAGGTGTATTATATTGATTAAAATTTTTAAATACAGTATGCAGTTTGATTAACAATTTCAGAAATACAGATTTTGGCATGATTAGGATTTACTTGACCTGGTAAAAAAATTTAGCGTTGACCGAGTTTTCATTAACATGATCACCTTAAAATATGGTATAAAATTTTGTAACTGTTATTAGACAGTTAATATTGCAAATCCATGTGATTCCATTATGAAATGAAAGATGATTTTCCCCCAAACACTGATAACCAATATATTTTATTTATACAAGCAGCTTAGTTTCTTTAGTTTAGAAATACAAATATCATTACTATCTTATAATCTATTTTTAAAAATTCAAGCACAGTTGTACTTGTGCTTATCTGTAAGGAAACGAACTTTTCATTTTAAACCAGATTTTTAGTATGTAAAAATGGTAAATGATAACTAGAGCTGTAACGATACAGCGATATATTGATCGAATTGATGGTATCTCTTAACCATACGCACATTGTATCGTCATTCTGGAATCGTGATACCAGAAGTGGTCTTTTACTTTACATGTATCATGATAAACAGTTGTATCATGTCGTAGTATCATGATACATATTGTATTGTGACAATACCCGCAATACTCGGCATAAATTGACAACACATGGAAGATATAAGTGAGAAAACAATAACAAGAGGCCCAAGGGCCTTAACAGTCACCTGAGTATAATACAACACTGTAAAGGATCCATGGAAGTATAAAACAGAATTATCTGATAGACGAAGCAATGTTGCCGAAGAATTTCAAACATAAGTAACCAAAGATTACGAAGCTGACCTTGACGAATGTTATCTATAAGTAAGGCAAATCTCACGTCATATTTTTTTCTAGTAAGTGTAGATCCCAAGATCAATATCCATGCAAGTTTGGTTTAAGTAGGACTTGTAGTTACTTAGAAAAAGACCTGCTCAAAAAACTTTTAAACTGTTTACTAATCAAGAAATTTTGGTCAGTTCCAACATCCAACGCAAGTCTGGAAGTTTCCATCCTTAGATGCACCATCTATGCAAGTATGATCATAACAGGCCATAATATAACATAACTACTCCAAAAGAATTACCCTGGTCACTCATCTAGAAAATGAAGGTCAGATTCAGAATACAAAGCAAGTCTGGAAGTGTCCATCCCAAGATACATCTTCCATGCTAATTTGGTTAAAATATGGCTAAAATTCACTCATGTGGAAAATCTAGGTCGGAGCATCCGAAGCAGGTTGGCTAGTGTACATCCCTATATGCATCATCCATCAAGTTTGGTCCAGGTAGGGCTTATAATTACTTGGGAATGGACCTGCTCCAAAAACTTTAACCTGGTCACTCATCTGGAAAATCTAGGTCAGATCCAGCATCCGAAGCAAGTGTGGTAGTGTCCATCCCTAGATGCATCATCCATGCAAGTTTGGTCCAGGTAGGGCTTAAAGTCACTTGGGAATGGACCTGCTCCAAAAACTTTAACCTGGTCACTCATCTGAAAATCTAGGTCAGATCCAGCATCCAAAGCAAGCGTGGTAGTGCCCATCCCTAGATGCATCATCCATGCAAGTTTGGTCCAGGTAGGGCTTATAGTTACTTGGGAACTGGGACGCCGACGCCAGGGGTATAGCATAAGCTCATCTCGACTTCGTCGAGGTGAGCTAAAAATCTGGTAAAAATACCCTTGCTTATTGTAACGTGCTTGACCCGAGTGATCTCTTTTGGATCATACTTGGTTTTCCCAAGTCTTACAGGGATGATTATGAATGCAAAATATACAAAGGACACTTGCCTATTGTGTAAGGTATTCAATATATAATACAGATAGTTTTTGTCACTTGCCTAGTGCTACAATTCAGTACACACAGACTTGGCTATTTTCCACATGTCACTAATCACAATAAGTCACCCTGGCTCTCTGTGATTCTTTGTTCACTTTTTTAAAGTATAAATAACATCCACTCTCTTGTCAACCATGACTCTTCTACCAGTGGCACTAACTTAGACCATCACAGTGAAACATACTGTGTACAATTACAACTTTTGCTAAATGTATAAAAAATCTTTAATTCAATCATTTATATTGCTTTCCAGGCAAGAATCTGACTTTGAGCATATTTTGCTCATTTAAACCAAACATTCATTTTTATTTTGTTTCTATATATATATATATATAACATTCTCTCTTGTATTCTCATTCAATCAAATAACCTGTTAATTTAATTATATACAAGGATTTTTTGATTAACAAGATTTAGCAAAGGGGAGTAACTCTCATTTGCTTCACATCACAATTGTGTACGCTGCCATCAAGATATCCAGGGGCCAAGAAATTCACAATTTTGGAAGAGGCACTCTTGCTCATCATAACTATGTACTTAATTCATCGGTTTAATACCAAGGGGCAGAGGAGAAAATTTTCAAAGCATTAATTTATTTTCAGTATATAATAAATACCCCCCCCCCCCACATGGAACCCCTGACCCAGGGGCCATGAAATTCACAATTTTGGAAGAAACACTTTGCTCATCATAACTATGTACTTAGTTCATTAGCTTAATACCCAGGAGCAAAGAAGATTTTCAAAGCATTAATTTATTTACTGTATAAAATAAATAAGCCCCCCCCCCCCCATGGAACCCCTGACCCAGGGTCCATGAAATTCACAATTTTGGAAGAGGCATTCTTACTCATCATAACTATGTACTTAATTCATCGGCTTAATACCCAGGAGCAGAGGAGAAGATTTTCAATTATTGAATGCATTTTCACTATATAATAATAAGAGCCCCACCCTAACACCAGAACCCCTGACCCAGGGGCAATTAAATTTACAATTTTTGAAGAGGCATTCTTGCTCATTATAACTATGTACTTAATTCATCGGCTTAATACCAAGGGGCAGAGGAAAAGATTTTCAAAGCATTTATTTTAATTTATTTTTCAGTATATAATAGTCGCAAGTGTGGCGCAGTGGTTGGAGCGTCTGCTCTAGAGTCATGAAGTAAGGAATTGATCCTTACGTCACGGGTTCGAATCCCACTGTGGGACATGGAGACCGGTCCTTCGGATGAGACCTTATAAACCGAGGTCCCGTGTCGCAGTAGGTGCTGGCACGAAAAAGATCCCTCACTGCTCAATGGCTGTAAGTGCCGAGTATAGGACAAAATTTGCAGCTCTCCACCAGCAGATGGTGGCGTCTCCATATGTGTGAAAAATTCTCAAAAGGGACGTTAAACAACATACAAACAAACAAACAATTAGTATATAATAAATAAGCCCCCCCCCCCCACACACACACACACATGGAATCTCTGACCCAGGGGCCAAGAAATTCATAATTTTGGAAGAGGCATCCTTCCTTATCATAACAATGTACTTAGTTCATCAGCTTAATACCCAGGAGCAGAGAAGATTTTCAAAGCATTAATTTATTTTTAGTATATAATATAACTCCTCCCCCCCCAACATGGAACCCCTGACCCAGGGGCCATGAAATTCACATTTTTGGAAGAGGCATTCTTGCTTATTATAACTATGTACTTAATTCATCAGCTTAGTACACAGGAGCAGAGGAGAAGATTTTCAAAGAATTAATGCATTTTCACTATATAATCATTAGAGCCCCGCCCTAACACCAGAACCCCTAACCCTGGGGCCATGAAATTCAAAATTTTGTAAGAGGCATTCTTACTCATCATAACTATGTACTTAATTCATCGGCTTAATACCCAGGAGCAGAGGAGAAGATTTTTAAAGAATTAATGCATTTTCACTATATAATCATTAGAGCCCCGCCCTAACACCAGAACCCCTGACCCATGGGCCATTAAATTCACAATTTTGGTAGAGGGCTCAATGCTTATTACAATCATGCACACAGTTTGACTGCTTGATGTCCAGGAGTAAAGAAGAAGATTTTTAAAGATTGCATTAATTTTGATGGTTTTAGCCCCACCCCTCAGGCCCCAGGGGGGCAGAGGCCATGAATTTCAGTTTTTACTCCCCTTCACCCATAGATGCTATATACCAAAATTGGTTGAAATTGGTTCAGTGGTTCCAGAGAAGAAGCTAAAAATGTTCAAAAGTTTACGACCGACTGACGACGAATGACGACAGACGAAAACAGATAGCAATAGGTCATCTGAGTGACTCAGGTGACCTAAAAAGATAAGAGCTGTAATATACCAATTATTATCAATTGTCAAATCTCCTATCGAACGATTGTCTAAAATGGAAAGCCTTTCCGATCGATTATAAATTGATCATCGTGACAACACTAGACAAAAGTGTATCCCGATATAACATGAAACACTGGGGCTGTATCATAATATGCATCATGATATATTACCTTTCATATTTCTAAGATAATTTGTATGTGAAATGATAAAAGTTGTACATCATTTCAACAAGTTCAAAAAGACATTTATAATGAAACATTTAATAAGCTCTGAACACAAAATCACTTCTATTTATTTAGATAAAACTAATAAGAAATAACATATATTACTTTTAATGTTATAATATTGTGATATACAGTTGTATGGTTTTTGTACCATGATATGGTACAATTTTTTGAGAACCGCAGTATACTGGTATATCATTACACCCCTAATGGAGAGATGGAAAGAAAAATGTATATAAGGGGACTCTCAAATCATTACAATTACCCAATAATAGTTTGACAAACAAACAGAGCAAAATTATGTTCCCAACTTTTATTTAGGGAACAAATCTGTACCCTCTTCAAATGGTCTGGCATCCACTTTGAGTTGTAAGCATGGATCTGAAGCACTTTGAATGGCTGCATCCATATCCCAATCAGACAACATACTCAGGTAGATTTCCTGTCCATAGTCATCTCTAACAAGGTAACTCATGGTAAAATCTCTAAAAACAATTGTAAACAAGTACACATTTCATAAATTATATCATATCTTTTTGATCAATCTTCCATGGGCAAAGAATATGTTGAAAATTGATAATCAAGAATAATGCATACCCTCTTATATTGAAAGCACTTGCTATTATGTGTTGAAGCATTTCAAATGATGTGATTTGTGGGTCCAATGAAAATTTCTTTGACTCTGGCTGCATAAAACTTTCATATTTCTGAAATGAAACAAGACACCTATGGGTCACAATGCTCACCTGAGTAACTTTAGTTTAGCTATTCTTCTTCAGATTTACAAAAATGTTTTCTTCTTTAAAGAGTGACCCTATATATATTGGCCCCACCTTAATTTTAAGGGGTCTCTAAATCCAGGATGATTCAATTATATTACAGCTAATATGGCCTTATAGTTAAGAAAAAATTTCTTTTCCTGTACACAAGCATTGCCGTAAATTCCTTTTATACGAGGGTTGCTATAAAAGTTTACGGACACGTCAATTTATTAGGGATGGGTATCAGCAAAAATTTCATATCGTGATATATCACGATTTTTTCGCAAAAATATCACAATAAATAGTAGGGATGTCAAAATATTTATTTTCCTTAGTCGATCATTCGATTGCATTATTCGAACGATAGTCGAATATTCGGAACATTTTCTGAAAATAAAATTTTTTATTTCAAACTTTATTGGTACATACTCAAAAACCTTTTTCTTAAATCTTTTTAAAAAGTAACATCAAAATTAATGCAACGTAACGCGTGGATAGCATGATTCCATGAAATAAATTTAGAAACCTAATTCTCCAAAAATCATTATTTCCCCGTCAATAGAATTCATAAATCGGCCTGTACAGTCAGTCATTTTTTATTAAGTAAGCATTAAAAAATTGCTAGCCAATATTTTTTAAAGCTTATTATGAAACAAAGTGGAAAGGGGGGGGGGGGGGGGCTGTCCTCAAACAGTTTAAAATGTAAGCGCATTGTTTTAATAACTATCGAAGTATCAAAACAGGTTTATTCCTTGCATTTGAGCAAACTTGAAATAACAAAAGATAATTGGTACATGGTATAAGATCAAGTCCAATTAATAATTTTACAAACAAAGCCCATTATATTGGCTAGTAATTTATTACAAAAACAACACAGGCAGTTACTGACAATTAATTATCGCAGTAGTGAAGCACTTATAATTGCTGTACTTTCTATACGTACATGAAAATCTACCATTTTTTGTTGAGGAAAATTATCAACTGTCTATGAGGAAAGACTGTTTCTCAAGACTGTTTTTTGATGAAAATTCCATCTCATCTATCAGTCATTTATTGCATTTATTTAGATAAAATAATATTCGAATGTCGTTTCATTATTCGATCGTCGGTCCATTCGACTGATAGTCGAAAAGTCGACTATTCGTTGACATCCCTAATAAATAGTGATATTTTTACACACAATTTTTACTACAATTACAAATGAATTTCCATAATAGTCCTTGAAAATATGGTATAAAAACATAACTTTACTTTTTAAGTTTTCATTATTTTAATATAAAGAATGTTTTGATGCCGTTGTTTAACTGTTTTCAAATTTTTTTTACACTTCCTATAATTGTCATTCAATAGTTTGAACAAATAAATGAATAATTTCCGGAATTTATAGTTATGTACCAAATACCGGTATTTTAGTCTCCGTATCAAGATACGTATCATGCAATAAAAAATTGCGATATACATGTATAACGATAAAATCGCGCATCCCTACAATTTACAGAAAATCTCGCGTGTATTTTGAAGACTGATTTATGTCGGATTTAATTCTTATCTTTTCAGGTCCATTTACTAAAAGTTTGAAAATATATGATGATTTTTACTGTGCGGTCATAGGATTCACAGAGCAATCGCTTAACGTTAGGTGACATGACAACCTGTTTCCAAACTTGTTAAGCCTTCAAACAGTTCTAAATATCTTTCATTTCTGTAGATTTTTCATTTCTTTTTCCTACTCAAAAATAAAATAACTATATAAAGACGTGTCATTTTTTTTCTAAAATGTCTTATTGTGGCGTATCGGATATTAGTGAGATCTTAAAATCAGTGTCTACGAAGTATATGGAAACAATGCAAAATCCATGCGATAAGCTGGATATTGGGGCATCACAAGAGTTGATCATCAAAAATGTCAATCCTTCCATTCTTATTAAGCTACTACCATTTGAACACTTTGGTCCTACATGTGTGTAGGCCATTCCCATTAGCATTTAGAACATTTTAATCTCTTTCGGGTATTTTCCAGTCTGCACACATTTTTTAATAGCGCGATGCTCCAAGACATTCAATGACATTATCATTCTTGACTTTGTTTATACACATTGGTCATCTATAATTAGCGATAAAACAGTCATGACCCCTCCAATTCAAAATTTCACAAAATGACGTTTCATGATTATTGAAACGGCAGGTAAATTAATTCCCTTGTAAATATGCTATGTGCTGCAAATGCATAAACAAGAGGCCCATGGGCCACAACACTCACATGAGTAACTTTGGCCCTACTGTTCTTCAACATATTTTCCCCCTTGTAATACTTATTGTGGCCCCACCCTACCACCGGGGTCCTGATTTGAATAATTTAGAATCTTCACTACCTCAGGAAGCTTCCAAATAAGTTTCTGTTTTTCTGGCCAAGTGGTTTTTGAGAATATTTTTAAAAATTTTTTTCCTAAATATTTCAATGTAAAAAATTTGATTCCCTATCGTGGTCCTACCCTACCCCAGGGACCATGATTTGAACAATTTAGAATCTATGCTACCCCAGAAAGCTTCCAAATAAGTTTCAGCTTTTCTGGCCAAGTGGTTTTTGAGAAGATTTTTCAATTAAATTTCAATGTGAATCTTTGATTCCCTGTTGTGGTCCTATCCTACTCTCAGTGCCATGATTTGAACAATTCAGAATCTACCTCAGGAAGCTTCCACATAAGTTGCAGCTTTTCTGACCCAGTGGTTCTTGAGAAGAAGATTTTTTCATTCTATTTCAATGTAAAACTTGGATTTCCTATTGTGGCCCCACCCTACCCCTGGGGGTCATGATTTGAACAATTTAAATTTTACACTATCCCAGGATGCTTCTACATAAGTTTCAGCTTTTCTGGCCCAGTGTTCTTGGGAAGAAGATTTTTAAAGATTTTTTCTATCTATTTCAATGTAAAACTTTGATTCTTTGTTGTGGTCCCACCCTACCCCAGGGGCCATGATTTAAACAATTTAGAATCTACACTACCCCAGGATACTTCCTCATTAGTTTCAGATTTTCTGGCCCAATAGAATAAGAGAATTATGCAAAAACTTTTATTGTATAATACAAAAAGTACTTTCATAGTTTCAATGATCAGATAGACTTGTAAGTAGTAGATAAATAAAAATGAGACAAAAATAACTTGTCTTATTAAATATTCATCAAAGACCAAGAGAGGCCAATGTAAGAGATTTCAACAAAGGATTAAAATAGTACAGAAGCATTGATAATTTGTTACTATACTGTATGGTGATAGTGATAAATGGGGAACAGATTAGAACCTAATTTATGAACTGTTAATGAATATTAAGACCAATTATTTTGTTGATCATGATCACCCTATTTTTCTTGCTTTTTGGCAACAAAGCTTCACCTTTCAGTTCATTTTATACTCTATGCATCCTTTAAATTGTTGTATCATACTCAGGTGACTCTTACTCATCATAACTATATACTTAGTTAGTGTATTTAATACCCAGGAGCAGAGAAGAAGATTTCCAAAGAATTAATGCATTTTTCACTATATAATCAATAGAGCCCCGCCCTAACACCAGAACCCCTGCCCCTGGGGCCATGAATTTCACAATCTTGGAAGAGTCACTCTTACTCATCATAACTATAAACTTAGTTAGTTTGTTTAATACCCAGGAGGAGAGAAGAAGATTATCAAAGAAATAATGCATTTTCACTATATGATCTATATAGCCCCGCCCTAGCACCAGAACCCCTGACCCTGGGGCCATGAATTTTACAATTTTGGTAGAGGACTCAATGCTTATTACAATGATGCCAACAGTTTGACTGCTTGATGTCCAGGAGTAAAGAAGAAGATTTTTAAAGATTGCATTAATTTTGGTGTTTTTAGCCCCACCCCTCAGGCCCCAGGGGGGCAGTGACCATGAAATTCACAATTTTTGTTCCCCTTCACCCATAGATGCTATATGCCAAATTTAGTGGAAATTGGTTGAGCGATTTCAGAGAAGAAGCTAAAAATGTTCAAATGTTAACGCACATCGCACGACGCACGCCGACCGACAAAAACGGATAGCAATAGGTCAGCTGAGTGACTCAGGTGACCTAAAAAAGAAAGATATTTTTATTGTTTATACATATATCTGTATAAATAACCATATAAAGTAAGTTTAAGTACATAAAATAATTGCATTATTGGCCTGACCTGCTCTTCATTGTATATTTTATTGATAAGTATATTGAAAAGCACACTTTGATACAGGTAGCCTAGGGAAAATCAAAGTACTAAAAGTACTGAAAGCCGGACTTTAATATGCTCGAGTATATTGTCTAATCCTAAATTAGTACATATTTGAAAATCTTTCTGACCATTGATATTTAACAGGTAGAGTTTGTATGATTATGATTTAACAATAACCCATCTACCAATAATTAAAATTAATGGTCCAGAACCCAACGTTAAGACCCCAGGATAGGACTTGGTGAGTATACCTTTCTAAACATTAAGCTCACAATGGTTATGCATGGTGACAGTGCACTTTGAGTGGTTTTGCTGATTCATACAGGCACATAGTATCGGAGGACTTAGGGGTGTCACCATTTTTCAAACATAAACTTTTACAATGGACAATGTACATTGAAAGGTTGATTGACTCTTTGCAATCAAATTTAAATTAGAACTTTCAACTCACTCTTTGTAATATATACGAGGTATTTGTCATGAGCGACGAACAGATTTACTAAAAGCAAAATGGGTGGTCTAATTTTAATTAGATTGTACCCATCATTTTATTGTAACATATTAAAATTACGGTAATTTGGTAATGTATTAATGAAATTCGAAATGTGAAAGTAAGTTATAGCCCACCCCTACTCCTCCAACGGAATAGGATTCTCGGCTTTGGACAATTTTCCTTTTTTCTCCTTTAAAAACAATACTACATGCCTGTATTAA